TGGCCTGCAGACTGAAAGGTCCCAGGTTTGATTCCGGTCAAGGGCATGTACCTTGGTTGCGGCATATCCCCAGTGGGGGATGTGGAGGATTTGGTTGATCAATGTTTCTGTCTCATCGATGTTTCTAATTCTCTATCCCTCTCCCTTCCTCTCTTTAAAAAAATTAAAAAAAAAAAAAAAGAATCAGCCAATGATTGCATAAACAAATGGAAGAACAGATTGATGCTTCTCTCTGTCTCTCGAATCAATTTTTTTTTTTTAAAGGTGGGAGGGAAAGAGTGAAATCTGTCAGCAAGAACAGATTTTTGGAAGAGACCCTAACTTTGTTTTCTTGCTAGATTTGTGTTCTTTGACAATATTACTAAACTTATAAACCTCAATAGAATCATAAAAAGGTAATAAGTTACATATTTTATTAAGAAGTATGTGACTTTATATTAATACTAGAGGCCCGATGCATGAAGATTCATGCAAGAAAAGTCCTTACTTCCCCTGGCTGCTGGCACCGGCTTCCCTCTGGCACCCAGCACCTGGGCTGCTTTGCCCTGGCTGCTGCCAGGCACCCACCGGGACATGCTTCAGGCTGCACCGTGGCTGCTCAGAGCACACCCTCACCACGTATGTGTGTCCCCATCTACATGCGCAGCTCCACCTGAGTGGTTGCGATGCCTGGCTAATTTGCATTTTATACACACACACACACACACACACACACACACACGCACGCACACACACACACAGTGGCCCAGTGCATGAAATTCATGCTGGGGGTTGAGGGGGGTGTTCTTCAGTCGGCCTGCACCCTCTCCAATCTTGGACCCTTGAAGGATGTCCTACTGCTGGTTTACAGGAATCGGGCCTAAACTGGCAGTCAGACATCCCTCTCACAATCCAGGACTGCTGGCTCCTAACTGTTCATCTGCCTGCCTGCCTGATTGCCCCTAACCACTCTTCCTGCCGGTCTGCTTGCCCTCAACTGCCCCTCCCCCCGCCAGCCTGATCACCCTCAGCTGCCCCCTGTGCCAGTGTGCTTGTTCTCAACTGGCTCTCCTGTCAGCCTGCTCACCCCCAACTGCCCCCTCTGCTGGCCTGCTTGCCCCCAGCTTCCCTCCCCACTTGTCTGCTCACCCCACCTGCCCCCTGCTGATGCTTACCCCAAACGCCACCACCTCCCAACAGCCTAATGACCCACAATTTGCAGTCCCAATGTGGCCTGATCAACTTCCGGAGACCCAAGATCAACCCCCTATTTTTTTATTTTTTTCTTAATATATTTTATTGATTTTTTACAGAGAGGAAGAGAGAGGGATAGAGAGTTAGAAACATCGATAAGAGAGAAATATTGATCAGCTGCCTCTTGCACACCCCCTACTGGGGACGTGCCTGCAACCAAGGTACATGCCCTTGACCGGAATCAAACCCGGGACCTTTCAGTCCACAAGCTGAAGCTCTATCCACTGAGCCAAACCGGTTTTGGCCAACCCTCTATTTTTTTCTTTTCTTTTTCAGCACCTCCTTGAGTGGAAATCAGGGCCAGCTGGAAGCAAGTATCTGGGATTTATTTATCTTCTATAATTGAAACTTTGTAGCTTTGATCAGAGGCCAGAGCTGGCCAGGATGAATGGGAGGCTTGGCTTCTTCCATCACCAGGGCAACCCAAGCCTGCTGCTCGCTCCAGCTCCATGGCCACCACCATCTTGGTTGGGTTAATTTGCATACTGGCTCCTGATTGACTGGTAGATGTGGCTTGTGGGTGTCAAGGAAGTACAGTCTATTTGAATGTTTCTCTCTTATTAGTGTAGATATATGTAATATATACTGTATACTTAACTGAGGTACTTTTTGGAAATGTGCCCAATACAGCTTAGTAAATATTTCAGTATTTAGGTAACAATTGGTTGCTGCCTTTTTGAAAAGAAATATATCTTGTTGAAAAGAAAATGTCCCATGTCCATCATCACACAGAACTACTCCAAGACCACAATAAATCAAGACAAAAGGCATTCGTGTTTGCACATGTGATTAAGGAGAACAGGTTTCAAAGGAATAAAAATAACGAATATTGCTTTTCTCACTAATGTGATTTGTGCTTCTTACAATTTTGGTTTAGCCTTTTTTTCTGCCTTCTGAAGAAAAATGATTTTCATTATGCAAGATAGAATGAAGTTAATTTCCTCCCAGAATTCAATGCAGAAAAATGTATCACTTCCTTAAATGGAAATCAAATTGTCTATCACAAGACAAAATATAACAAGAAATCCTTTAAAGGGTGCTGCTACTGTTACATCACAGGCATTTGTGGTTTCTGATCATGCTTATTAATTCATTCCATCTCATTTCTCTTTTACTACAGATGTGATTATGTTGGTCTCTGGCTGGAGGGGACTAAAAAAATATATGACTGAAGTTTTTAATATTTTTAATGAATAAGAAATGAGTCTATGCCAAACATTATAAACATAAAGTAATAACAAATATAATTTCCCTAAGGAAACCATGTCTGAATTTGTATACATATGATACTTGTGACTCAGAATTTATGATTAAATGGAAAAAGCGATAAATTGATGTGAAAATACATAATTACTATGGGATAATTAAACACATCCTCAGAAATAACAAAATACTATACATTTCTTAGCATAATGTTTTAGGCAAACAGTTAATATTTCATTAAAAATTACAGAAGCATTGCCCTAGATAGTTTTGCTCAGTGGATAGAGTGTAAGCCTGCAAACTGAAGGATCCCAGGTTCCAGGCTCAATGCCCAGAAGGCAGTGTGTGGGAGGCAGCTGATCAATGGTTCTCATCATTGATGTTTCTCTCTCTCTCTCTCTCTCTCTCTCTCTCTCTCTCTCTCTCTCTCTCACTTGCTCTCTGAAATCAATTAAAAATATTTTTTAAATTATAGAAGCATTTATTAGGAAAAATGCACATAATTTTAATCCCATACAACCCAAGGTAACTGAAAACATTGAGAGATTTGGCTCAGCTCTGAGTCATAACACACATCAGTCTGCCTGACATGAGGAAAGTGCTGATTCTCACATGGAAGGTCTGGCTCGGAGCCCTCACTGCAGAGAGCGGCACAAGAACAAACTGTCATGGGGCTCCTTGGCCCTGCACCACTGCAGCTCTCACGGGGCTCCCTGACACTGCACCACTGCAGCTGTCACAGCTGTCACTATGAATCATACTCAATAGTAGTGCCAACAGAACAAGATGATTATTAGTCAAATTAGACCTCATGCAAATGCAATCTAGAAAAGAGAGTATATCCTTCAGAAAACAGCCTCCACCATGACAGTTTACGTTTGTTGCCTGGTGGACACCTATGGGCTTGCAGGAAAAGCCAACGTATGGTGGATCATTAATGTTGAATTGTGAACATCTGTAAAGCTTACACCTGACAACAATGGAAGCAAAGCAATGGCTGGCAGTTTTGAGGATATTCCTGGCTGGGAGGGCAAAGATTGAGAAAAACAAACTAAAATATTATCTTCTTAATGTGAACTCCATACCACAATTCCCAGAAAAAAGCAACACACACAAAAATACATAACAAGAATACACAGGGGAACTTTACAGTGAACAGTACTATGTACAAATATATGGCAAATACTTACTGACTAAAAGAATAGTGAATTTCAAGTGCAATTGAAAATTAAAAAAGAATATTTATGTATGTAGGGCCTATTCATTCAATACCCAACTGGCACATTACTGGTCAGGGCACATGGAAAGACAACCCATTGATGTTTCTCTCTACATTGATATTTTCCTCCATTTCTCTCTATGAGAGAAATTCTAAAGCATCGATTTTAAAAAAACTAACAAAAAAAGATTAAGTACTAATAATGACCAAATTTGTCAAAAGTTCATAAAACTTCTTTAATGGTGTGAGTTTTGGGGACTATATGACTTAATCTGCAACAGGCTTACATGTATTAGTTAGTTACACTAATAGGATTTCCTTCCAGTGAAATTTTCAAGATACTCTGAAAGTATTTGTAAAAATTTAGTTATTTTTAAAAAAATAGGCAATTATACAGTATCTATCCAGTGTACATTTTCACGTTGTATTATTGCAGGGACATAAAGCAACATGATGGTTTTCCTACATTTTTACATTAAATACAATTCTCAACTTTGAGTTTTTTTTAATGACCTTTCCAATGAAAAGGGACAGCTGAAGGCTTTCCCACCTTCTCTATACATTTATACTATTTCTTCAAGTGCATTCTTACACGTCAAGAAAGGATCACCAACATTCCTTATGTTCGTACATTTATTGTTGGGTGAGTCCCTTCATGATTTTGTAAAGAACTAGGAAGGCCAAAAGCTCTTCTACAATCTTTACTTGACAGGCCTTCTCTTTACTTGACAGGCCTTCTCTTTCATCCTTTACAATAAAATGGAAGAAACGAATGTTTTCTAACACTCTTACATTTCTAGGTCCATCCCCAATATGATAATCATACATGATGGCACAACTGAGAGATAAATGAAGGCTCTTGGCTATTCTTGACATTAACAGTGTTTATCAATACATTTTATTTTCACATGTCTGTAAAAACCAGTTGGGATGCTGAAGGCTTTACCACATTCCTTGCATTGATGTGGTTTCTTTCCATTATGAGAATTTTTGTGCATTAATAAGGAACTGGAATGAGAATTGGCTTTCTCACATTGCTTGCATTCATAGGGTTTCTTCCAAGTATACATTCCATGGTATCTAAGAGAAAAGGGTTGGCAAAACAGTTTACCTCATTTCTTTAAAAAATATTTTTTAATTGATTTTTTATAGAGAGAAAAGGAGAGGGAGAGTTAGAAACATCAATGAGAATCATCGATCAGCTGCCTCCTGCAAACCCCCTGCTGGGGATGTGCCCGCAACCAAGGTACATGCCCTAGACCGGAATCGAACTTGGGACCTTTTAGTCCGCAGGCCAACACTCTATCCACTGAGCCAAACCAGCTAGAGCAGTTTACCTCATTTCTTATTCATGAGTCTTCTTTTCATTGTGAGTTCTTTTATGTCTCCGAAGATGTGAGGCACAACTGAAGTCTTTCGCACACCGCTGACATTCATAGGGTTTTCCCCCAGCATGAGTCCTTTCATGATGTTGGAGGGTGTCTAGAGCAACAAAAGCTTTCCCACATTGCTTACATTCATAGGATTTCCCCCCAGCATGCATATTTTTATGACTTCTAAGAGATTGGGAAAGACAAAAAGCCTCTCCACATTGCTGACATTCATAGGGTTTTTTCCCAGTATGAATTCTTTCATGACATTGGAGGTAAGTTAGAGAAGAGAAAGCTTTACCACAATACTTACATTTATAGGGTTCTTCCCCAGTATGAATTCTTTCATGACATTTAAGGGAAGTTACATTAGCGAAACATTTGCCACAATACTTACATTTATAGGGTTTTTCCCCAGTATGAATTCTTTCATGATGTCGGAGGTTACTTAGAGCAACAAAAGCTTTCCCACATTGCTTACATTCATAGGGTTTTTCCCCAGTATGAATTCTTTCATGACAATGGACAGAAGATACATTAGCAAAAGTTTTGCCACAATGCTTACATTCATAGGGTTTTTCCCCAGTATGAATTCTTTCGTGACGTTGGAGGGCACCGAGAGCAAAGAAAGCTCTCCCACATTGCTTACATTCATAGGGTTTTGTCCCAGTATGAGTTCTTTCATGACATCGGAGGGAAGATGCATAAGAGAAAGCTTTACTACAATGGTTACATTTATAAGGTTTTTCCCCAGTATGAATTCTTTCATGATATCGGAGGGCACCTAGGGCAAGGAAAGCTTTCCCACATTGTTTACATTCATAGGGTTTTTCCCCAGTATGAATTCTTTCATGACAATGGACAGAAGATACATTAGTGAACGTTTTGCCACAATAGTTACATTTATAGGGTTTTTCCCCAGTATGAATTCTTTCGTGACGTTGGAGGGTACTTAGAACCATGAAAGCTTTCCCACATTGCTTACATTCATAGGGTTTTAGCCCAGTATGAGTTCTTTCATGATATCGGAAGGCACGTAGAGTAAAGAAGGCTTTTCCACATTGTTTACAATCATACGGTTTTTCCCCGGTATGAGTTCTTTTATGATTTTGGAGGGAAGCTGAATAAGAGAAAACTTTACAACAAACTTTACATTCATAGCGTCTTTCCCCAGTATGAGTTCTTTCATGATTTCTAAGGGAGGTTGAATAGTAGAAAGCTTTCCCACAGGGGCTGCCTTCATTGCTTCGAACATTGTGGTGATGCCTGAAAGCTTTCTCAGCTTCCTTACATTCATAAGGGTTTTCTTCATATTCTTGACATAGTCTGGGTCCAATGTGAGAGCGCAGGTGATTATTCAAGGATAAGTAAAGCATGAATATTTGCCTACACAAGGTGACTTTAGGTTGTTTTATTTCAGTAGGAGTTTCCCTCTCTTCATTATGATTTGGAATCTGCCTGAAGTTTTCTCTGCATCGAATACCATCCTTCCGTGTACAGACTCTCTCTACCGTATGACTGCTGTAAAAATCAGAAGCATATTATTAATACTCTGTTAATAATTTAATATTTATTCATAGTATGGCTAGGATATTTTTACCATTTTGAAGGAAAGATCAGGATTTCTGTACATTCTGATTTTTGAAATTTCATATCCTAAAACCTCTGATATAGGCTATATCATAGACATGATGAAAACACTTATATTCATTAATGGAACATCTGTATATTGTTTTCAAGTGTAATTACTTTTTATACACTAAACTTTAGGTCACATTTCAGAAAAAAACATTTTCATGAGATTATTCTAAGAGAGAATAAATTTAAAACTGGCTGATACAATTGGATTACATGTTTTTAAGATTGTTTTGTGGCTCATGATTTAGCATGGACCAACCAAGGGGTTGCCAGTTCAATTCTCCAAAAGGGAACATGAACAGACTGCAGACTTATTAACGCCAGTACAGGGCATGCAGAAGGCAGCCAATCAATTTTTCTAGATCTCCCTTACACCTCCACACTCTAAAGTCAATAAAAAGATATTTTCTCACCACCAGCATGGCCAAGTGGTTGAATACCAACCTCTGAACAAGGTCACAGATCAATTCCCAGTCAGGGAAAATGCCGAGGATCTGGTCTTAATACCGAGTGTGGGGTATGCAGGAGGCAGCCTTCATAATTCTCTCTTATCATTGATGTTTCTCTTTCTTTCTCCCACTCCTTACTTCTCTGAAATAAATTTAAAATATTAAATAAGTAAATAAAATATATAAAAAGCTATTTAAAAAAAAAAGATTTCTTAATGTTTTCTCATGTCAAAGTGACTCACCTAAGATTCATCCCATGATATTCATATTTATCTTCAGTATCATTGTCTTCACCTTCTTCTTCTAAAATACATGCTAGAAAAAGCATTGTAAACTATTAACACGTTAAACTCCCGGTCAGTCACCAGTGACTAACACTATTCTTTCTGTCTGGAAGACAAAACAGGCTGGGAGCTTAATGTATTAAAGAATATAAAAAATGGTTAGATTTTAGGTACACAATTAGCTATGATATTCCTAGTTTAATTAACAATGTATTCCCTTTCTGTATTTCAGTTATTGAAACAGCATTGATGAGCAAGCAATTGATTAAATTGCTAATTGATTAAATAAGTAACAAGTTGGGTAGGCCAGAGTCATTCTGTGGTTGACGGTCAACCTATGGACCGGTATGAACCAGGAGGTAACAGGTCAATTCCCAGTGGGATCCATTTGCAGGCTAGGTCCCCAGTGTGAGGTGCACAGGAGGTAGCCAATCATTGATTCTCTCTCATCACTGATTATGCTAGCATTCTCCCCAACTCCTTCTTCTCTAAAATCAATAAACACATATTAAAAAAAAAAAAAAAAGAATTTGTGATACCTACCTACTGATGCCAGGTTCCAGAAGGTTTCCAGCATCACATCTGTGTAGAGTTTCTTCTGGGTGGGATCCAGGAAAGCCCACTCCTCCATTGTGAACTCCACATTAACATCCTCAAAGGCCACTGAGTCCTAAAACATCCCACATATACATATAGGAGAATGGGTGAGACAGACAGAATTGGAGACCTATATAAAATTCATAGGAAGTTCACATAGGACACATGGTCCACAACATTCACTCTATGACTTGATTGCAAGTCTATTATTAACTGTCATATCTGCAAAAAGTTTTAGTAACTACAATAAAAGCCTGGTAGCTTTCTCTTCTATTCTCATCACCAAACAGGAGAGGCCAGGCGGTGTGTAGAAATTCCAATGAGAACAAAATGTACGTGGCCATATTTTCCTGAGGTACTCCACATTATTAGAAGTAGAGAGATACACCTGAATGAATGAAAATATTCTTGTGGAGGAGTATGAATGGCCATTTTTAAAATAATATTTGGCCGGGACCGGTTTGGCTCAATGGTTAGAGCGTCGGCTTGGGGACTGAAGGGTCCCGGGTTCGATTCCGGTCAAGGGCATGTACCTTGGTTGCGGGCATATCCCCAGTGGGGGTTGTGCAAGAGGCAGCTGATCGATGACTCTCTCATCGATGTTTCTAACTCTCTATCTCTCTCCCTTCCTCTCTGTACAAAATCAATAAAATATATTTAAATAAATAAATAAATAAATAAATAAAAATAAAATAATATTTGTTAGTAACTCAGGTTGACTTTTTTGCCTCTCTCATTTCATGGAGATAGGACTTGAGAGTTAGAGCTCAGGCATGAGCAAGACAGGACAACTTAGCTTTCTACCAAAGTCCTCAACTCATGAGCCTGTGGGTTATTTCATACTGATTTTTAGGACAGGTAGACAAGTATATTGAAATCATAAGATCATACTAAAAGCTCTGGCAGAACTGTAACACTGTAACTGTGGCCTGGACCTTCAGGAACAATTTAAGACTTGGCATGTACAGGGGCTCTATTGAAGCCTGCAATATTTTCATGTTGAAATGGCACATGCTTATAAAGTACATAAGAGGTCAGAGGGGTAATGAAAATATTAAGTAGAAAACTCTAAAATTTGTCTTAATACTATGTTCTACTCCTGAAACTAATACACAATAAAAATAAATGTAAACTATAATTGGAATATAAACTATAAATGCAAGCATATGTGGTGTTTATGGATAGAAAAAATTAATACCATTAAAATGTCCACACTACACAAAGCAATCTATAGCTTCAATGCAATTCCTATCAAGATACCAGTGCTGGCCCTAACTGGCTCAGCTCAGTGGATAGACCATGGCTTGTGGACTGAAAAGTCCCATATTTGATTTTGGTCAAGGGCATATGCCTGGGTTGTGGGCTCAATCCCCAAAAAGGGGCATGCAGGAGGCAGCTGATCACGGATTCTCTCTCATCATTGATGTTTCTATCTCTTCCTCTGCCTTGCTCTCTGAAATCAATAAAAAAAAATATTTTTTTAAAAAGATACCAATGCTAAATCTCACATAGTAGAGCAAATATTCAAAAATATTATATGGGACCACAAAACACCCTGAATAGCAACAGCAATCTTGATATAGAGGCACAATCCAACTGTACTACAAGGCTATAGTAATTAAAACAGCATGGTCCTGGCATAAAAGCAGCATATAAATCAGTGGAATGGAACAGAGAGCCCAGAAATAATCCAATACCTTTAAGGTCACGGAATATTTGACAAAGGAGACAAGAAAACACAATAAAGTAAAGATAACACATTCAATCAGTGATGCTGGGAAAATGCCAAAAAAGGAAACTAGAACAGTTTCTTACACCATACACAAGAATAAACTAAAAGTGCATAAATACTTAAATGTAAGATTCAAAACCAGCCGAAACCGGTTTGGCTCAGTGGTAGAGCATCGGTCTGCGGACTGAAAGGTCCCAGGTTTGATTCTGGTCAAGGGCATGTACGTTGGTTGCGGGCACATCCCCGGTGGGGGGTGTACAGGAGGTGGCTGGTTGATGTTTCTCTCTCATCAATGTTTCTGGCTCTCTATCTCTCTCCCTTCCTCTGTAAAAAAATCAACAAAATAAAAAAAAATAAAATAAGACTCAAAACCATAAAAATCCTAGCAATAAAATTGTGGACATTTGTCCTATAGCAATATTTTTTCTGATTTGTCTCCCCAGGAAAGAGAAATAAAAGAAAAAATAAACAAATGGGACGGCATCAAACTAAAAGGAAACAGTCAACAAAATAAAAAGGCAAACAACCCAGTGGGAGAACATATTCACCAATGAAACCTGTGGTAAGGGGTTATTACCAAAAATTTATAAAGAGTTTATACAATTCAACACCAAAATATGATTTTAAAAAGGTAATGGGTTCAGTTCCCAATCACGGCACATGTCCAATTCTGTGTTTGATTCTCAATTGGGGTATGAATGGGAGTCAACCAATAGATGTTTTTCTCTACCTCTCTCTCTCCCTTATCTCTTTAACATCAATAAAAAATATACCCGACAGTGTTGACCTAAAAACATGAAAGAAAATAGTTTATATAAAAAGAAAAATGGGCAGCCCTAACTGGTTTGGATCAATGGAGTGTCAGCCTGCAAACTGAAAGGTCCCAAGTTCGATTCCGGTCAAGGGCGTGTACCTTGGTTGTGGACATATCCCTGGTGGGGGTTGTGCAAGAGGCAGCTGATTGATGTTTCTCTCTCATCGATGTTTCTAGTTCTTTATCCCTCTCCCTTCCTCTTTGTAGAAAAATCAATAAAATATATTTTTTAAAAAGAGAGAAAAATAGGTAAAGGACCTAAACAGATACTTCCTTCCCCAAAGAGGACAAACAGATGGTCAAGACACATATGAAAAATGAAATTAAGCCCACACTAAAAAATCACCTCAAACTTGTCAGAATAGCTATCCTATCTAATAAAGAGGGAATATGCTAATTGACCGTCACATCCTTACAAAGATGGCAGTGCCCATAGCCAATAAAGAAGGAATATGTTAATTGTCTACCACGCCCTCAAAGTTGGCAGCACCCACAGTCACAAGATGGCGGTGCCCAGACCCCTCAGTCCAGCTGGGACAACAGGCATGCAGTACAGCCGGGTCCACCCCCAGGCAGGTCTGGGGGGCAGGCCCAGCCATGCCACACCTGCCTCCAGAGTCCCCCAGTCCCTTCCGCCCCCTACCCGCCCAAGGCTGGCGCAAGTAAGCCACAGTTGTTGGCTGCCCAGTCACCCAGGACTGGCCCGAGGCACAGGCAATCCTTGGATGGCAGCTGCCCAGCCGATGATTGAGGTGCAGGCAAGCCTTGCATGGCAGCTTCCCAGCTGCCCAGGGCCGGCCGAAGGCACAGGTAACCAGGGCCAGCTGAGGCTTGAGCTGCTGGCAGTGGCAGCAGCAGAAGTGTGATGGAAGCATCGCCTTCCCTGATCGCTGGGTTGGCTTCTGCCCCTGAGGGCTCCCAGACTGTGAGAGAGGGCAGGCTGGGATGAGGGTAGGTCTCCCCCTTTCCCCATTTTCAGGCACTGGACCTCTAGCCACCAATAAAGG